GCTATTTATGCTAAATCATTCCCCGCCTAGAATCCCCGCGTAGAATCCGAAATCCGTTCGCGTCGCTTAATTTAAATTGCATTGCTAATGAACGATACCCGCGCGAAATCCAAAACTCTCGCAACATCCATTTCACCCACCCGCCCCTGCTCGCGCTAAAATATGATTCGCTCTAAATCCAATCGTCCTACGGCTGTCGCGTATTCCCATTCTCCGTTATCGCCCCGTTAAAGTATAACGATCGAATGGAAGAGCGTACGGTACATAAGACGCTTCATTTTTTTTTTTTTTTTTGGTCGAGGCATCGTTAAGCGCGTAACATGACGCGCGTAAGTGAGAGAAATATTTTCTACCTATCTCACTCTCTGTCTCTCTCTCTCTCCTGCTTTCGTTCGTTGGCAAACAACGATGGCGCGCAATTTATTACGTATTATTGCCGTTTTTTGCGACGGCAAACCGGATTAACTCGGCAATTTATCGCGTACACTGTTGCAAAATTTACCAAGCGAAGAACGGCGTCACGTGTCCGTGACTCGCGCGAGCAAAGAAATTCGTTCGAGTAAAGTCTTGGGTCCGACCGCAAAATACAGAGTTCGTGCATCGATATTTCGCCGTTAGATTTTAATTAAAACGTCCTGTTCCGTTCTATCCGACTATTTCGACCTCCCATGCATCCATTCTTCTGACTAATTACCACAGGTAATATATCGAACGCTTCTTCGTTTTCAACCGATCGAATATCCCTCGCCATTTATCAATATACAGATATTCTTTCTTTGCGGATCGACGACGAACGAATTCGTCCATTTTCTTCTTATTATCTTTTACCATTAATTTCACCGATTTTCCCTGATCGATCCTTCGATCGATCGCGCGCGATAAGTCTTGGAAAGAAAAGAAAAAACTTGCGACGGTTTTCGTTAACCGAAATCTAACCGCATTCCTCTCTGTTCGCGATGCAAAGCGACCAGGCTATCCACTCGCGCCAGCATTCCAATAAATACGGTTAACCTGTGCGCGCTCCAATCTTCCTTTCCATTCTACTTACTTTAACACGTACCACGCCTGCTGGTATCACTTTGCGGTTTTCACGCGATGCCGCGCGATTTAAGATCACAAGATTTAACCCGTGAATTTTGAACTCGGATAAAGGATAAATTCAACGGAACCAACGGATCTAATAATTTCACGTTTAGACGATTATCGATATACGTAGCGGATAAAAAGATTTATCCGCGTGGAAATGGGGCGAAATCGAAAAAGGCGAATGAAAATCGGGAATATTTCGAGAATAAAATAAAGTATAAACGAAGTATAAATTAAACTAATACGTTTCGATTTTTATTCGATTAAAAATTCGATTTAAATTTCAAATTATCGTTCCTTTATGAATTATCGAGGAGAAATTTATGGATATTGTATTCAATCGTCGCGTACGCGTCGTCGCGCGTTCGCGTTTTTCGTAAAATGAAAATCGATGCAGAGCGAAAATAAATGAACGAAATGAGTGGAGAAAAAAAAAAAGAAAAAAGATTAAGAAGAAATCGCCATCGTATACTTTATTCTGACGATACGAGAAATTTACCGACATGGAACGTACGAATCTCTCTTTTTCTCTCTCTCTCTAAAATCAAACACTTTTTACGATGTCGAGACAAGGAAAAAGACGTAAATTTAAAGGGAAATGTAATCGACGCGACCAAAGAAAGGGGAAAACGAGAGATCCCTCTCGTTTTATCGATCGACGTATCGCGACACGAGCCAAATTTTTGCGGTCCAATTTATTTCCTCCGTGGATCGCACTGTTGCCAATATCGATAGAAAATTTATTATACCGATCGAAATCACGATACGTTGATACATTTTATTATTTAAAATTGACCATTGATATTCCTCGTGAGTTTCGTTCTTAGAGTTTTACAATTCCAAGAGCTTTGCAAACTTTTCGAAACTTCGATGCGCTGTCAACTTCCAAACACGTCGAATTCTCATAGTTTCGAGAAGTATCTAATTTATTCGAAATGTTTCGAATCTTTAAGAGGATGAAACAACGACCAGCTTATTATCGAGATGAAAATTCAAAAAGAAAATAATTAAAAACTCTAACAATTATGTCAAAATCATATTACACGATCCAAAAAATAAACCTTACGATTCAACAAAAGTTGTGAATTTGAAATCTTCTTCGATTTTACATTGCATCAAAGAGATAATTAAAAAAAAAAATTCGTAAATAGAAATCGAAAAAAACTTTTAAATTTTGCATATACTTGTTCTTTTCAAGTATACGCAATCCTTAAAATATTACTTCACTTTTAGGAAAAAGTAATTTTATATCAATTTGACGATTCAAGAATTTTATTCCTCTTTATCCTCAAACTTTATCTTCAAACTTCTTCCCTCCGTTCCCGAATTAAAAAGCATTTGTCCGATTCGTCGCTACAACTATGTACGTATCGTAAGAAAAAATTATTACAAAAATCCTTCGTATCTTTTCGCGGTAGATAAATAAAGCTTGTGACGCAACGAAATACAATTCCGTTCGTAACGAAACACTATTCTCTTCCGTGGAAAAACAACGATCCATTACGTGAAATTTGGTTGGGCGTAATATAATATAAATATGGTACGGTCAAATATGTTAACAAAATACATTACGCGTTATAAATTTTCAGGATTGCGCGTCGCGCTACGACGAGAAAACACGAATACCAAAAAGCCAATAATGGAGTAATCATTGGGGGATTTATGGTCGAGCATCCTCCTGTGTAAACGGACCGTCGAAAACCGTAATCAGTTTTTGCATTATCGCGCGATACACGGCCACATGTTACTACTATGGTAACATTGTTTTTCAAATAGCCAAATAAATCTCCGCCAATTGTTTCCTATTGCGGAAAAACGAGTTTAATAATCTTTCCCTGTAATTTCATGCCGGTTTCCGAAATCGAATTAAACTTCGTTGAAAATTGACGCGTGACGCGAAAGGTGATCCGTTTTCACGGAAGATAATGATTCTTTCCGTTTTACGAAAAAATAAAAAAAAAAAAAAAAATAAAAAATCTGCATTTCAATTAAAGAGAAAAGATTAAATTGGACAAACATTACTGGAAGGAGAGATAAAGAAAATACAATTGGCTGGCTGGGTTATTCAATTTCTTTCCAGATCTTCTTATCTCGAATCAAGATCCAAGAAGTCCGTCTAATTATATTATTTGTAATTATTTGTCAGAAAGTAGAAAAGCTTGAAACTCGAAGCTTGTGAATTTATCGTTCATCTTGATGAATAATACTCGGCAAGCTTCTGTTTAAAATCGCACAAGTCCCCATGAATTTTCAACAAAATCCTCCCCTCCCCGAACTTTTCTCGCAACATTCTTTCACCGCCAACTTTTCAAATTGTAGACCAAAGTTCAATGTTTGAAAGGGAAATGAAATTTCCCGCGTTAAGAAAATAATCGACAACTTTCACGACGAATTCGCTGTTCGTTGTTCACCGCGTTATACGACCTTTACTAATTTCCTTTTCCTTTCCGTATCGCCTTTATATACCTTTTTTCCATTTTCCAAACAGTTACTTTCATTCTCATACCACGAGAAGAAGGAAGATAAAATTTCCCTTCGATTCGAAGAAAGAAGAAGAGAAAGAGAGAAGATGGTTTCTTCCATCTTCGTAAACTCACTGCGCGTGTTTCTTTCAAGAAGCCCATTTAACCGGAAACGATACAAATATTCCATCCCCCGAACGAGACGAAATTCGACAAAGTAAAGAGACGAACGAGTACCACGCCCGTACGTGGACCAAAAAGTTGGGGGAACGTGACCAATTGGCACGCTTAAACACGCGTGATAACGGCGGACGAGCATTATGCGATTGCGAATTGTAGGCGGACAGGCGGCAGGTATTGTTGCGATGCCGGCCAAGAAATCGAATACGCGGTATCGCGATGGACCGATATAAATTTGGAACCGAGAATCGTAAACCGTGCCAAGGAGGGTAGGGGAAGCGTCGGTGGCGCTGGTGCTACGCCGTTTCAACCGTCGTAAAAAGATTTCTGACCGTCTTCCTCCCCCCCACCCGATTCGCGTTTGGAACCTCTCGGCCGGATAATCGTGCAAGAATCGCGCTACAGAAATACCGACTTTGCCTTCCAATTCGTTTCTTTCGTTTCTTTCGAGACTTTTCCGTGTCTCTATCGTACATCGATTCTTTCTTCTTCTTCTTCTTCTTCTTCTTCTTCTTCATCTTCTTCTTCTTTTTATTATTATTGTTATTATTATTTATTAACGATGTTAGAGTTTCAGCTGTGCCATTTAAATTTACAAGTCTTTAACTGGAGAGGTAGTGGAAAGTTTTATAGAATAAAGTAGCTTATGTATCGCTTTTAAATGCAAAGCGAGCTTTTTCCCTAATTTATGAAGGAAGAAAGTTCGCTCGCGGAACTATTGTAGTATTCATAACCTCGGCTAAAATTTTCGTAATAGCTTTCTAATATATTCCGCCAACCCTTCGAACATCGTTTTATCTTTCGAACTTGAAAGGACAGCATTATGATCAATCTCTCGTATAAAATTTCCATCGAGAGAAGGGCGCGATATCGAAATCCACGGATCTTTATACGTTATATTTTACATTTACGAGAAAGTCTCGATTCACTTTGCCAAACGAGGCTATCGATTTTCAAACTCAACATCACCGACACCACCAAAACTTTTAATCGTCTTCGAAGAAACGTATCTACTTACCTGATTTCCAGACGAAATTATACAAAATATATTTTCTCCTAGGGGCTACGAATACGCCCCTATTTTCTATCCGAAAGAACAAAAAATTTCGAAATTTATCGCGACTCTTATTTTTATATACGAATTCCCAACAGATTCGATATAGAACGAACACGTATTTTTTCAACACGTAGATCGAATTTTAAGATCCTAGATCCACGGTTGTAAAAGTGGATCGAAAGCATGCGGAGATATATCGAGGAATGTACTCATACCGGAATTGGGCTGGCCGTTGCTGTTGGGCCTAGCGGAAGGTGCGCCGTCCCTGGCCTCCACTTCCAACGCGTACGCTCCTTGCTTCTCCCGATCGAACATCACCTTCGTGAAGATCTCCCCGGTCTCCCGATTAATCTCGAAGTAATCCTTCCCTTCGTTCCTGTCGCTGTCCACCACGTAATAAGTGACCTGAAACCAGATTGTCCACCGTTGTATATTACCGTTTCGAACGATAATAAGAGTTCGTTTCCTTGTCAACAATTTGTGACACGCGTATCGCGTTACCTCGAACGAAATAAATAATTCTTCTCTCCGTTTCTGTGAACTTTTATTCGTGTATATAGGATTTCCACGTTGGAAAACGAAATTAAGTAGTAGACAGATGGTGAAAATAGTTAGAGTTATATGATTTATCAAGATTGAGAAGAGTTATATGATTTGTCACAGGTGGACGTACGTGAGTGGAATACGCTGACCCATATATACAGAGTCAGAGGAACACGTGTTGTTGAACGTGAAATTGTATAATTTCGAAATTGTTGGAGGACGAAGAAGAAAAAAAATATTATTCCTTTTCCTCCAAAGCTACGTAAAATATAAAAGTGAATGGGAATAGGGATGAATATTTTATCGATCTGAAAATCGATAAAAATTCTCAAAGTGAAAACGAACGTTATAATCATAATTTATCTCCGAGTTCTCCAATAAATTCGATTTCTGAATTAATAATTTTCGAGTGAAACCGCTCCGTATTCCGCGTACGTTGTTTCGTTGTACGTTCGTTTTAATTTCGGAACGAGAAGTAACTTTGAATATTCGCGACATTTCTCGGGATTTGAACGAAAAAAAAAAGAAAAGAAAAAAAAAAAAAGAAAAGAAGAAAAAAAGAAAGAATCCATCGTTCTCCACAGACTCTCGTAGATTTTGCGTTTAAACAAAAATCCGACGAAGAACGTAGGATATACGTTACGAAAGAGAATAAGACGAAAATAAAAAAAAAAAGCAAGAGAAAACTAATATTGAGAACGAAGAAATCAGTGTGTTTGCACGAGTGCTAGATCGATAAAAACAAATGAAAAATTACAATCATTGATTCTCGTACGTTTTCAAGGGAAAGAGAGAGAGAGAGAGAGAGAGAGAGAGAAGACGAAAGAGTAGAGAAATTTCAAAGATTGAAATACAGGAAGTAAAAAAAAAATTGGAAGCAATAATATCGGCACAAGTATCAATTAACTTGATTAAGAGGGAGATTTCAATTAATCATGAACGTAAATGATGAAATTAATTATTATATTTGTGCACGAAAAGTTTAAACAGATAATAATCCTATTTGCGCATGATCGAATGCGCAATTGTGGATTATATTTTAATTATCGAATATTTTTCCCACGAAATAAGAAAATTTTCGAAAAAATATTCTATAAATTTATAAGCTAATTCTTGGATAAACGTACGAGATACGTTTTCGTAGATCGCATTTTTTCAACACAATTATAATTGATATCGGTGTTTTATGGATATTTACGATAGAATGTTGATAAAATTTAAAATTGAAAAAAATTTTTTAATTCCCCGCGATAAATAAATACACCGTGTAACCAACCAAGATGTGCGTAAATACTGTTAAATGTAAAATACAAAATCCACTTTTTATTTATATACGATTTGTTAAGTTAAAGAGATTTAATACCAAAAAAAAAAAAAAAAAAAAAATACGATCAATTATAACATTTTCGTGGGAAAAATTTGCCTAATTACAGAAAAAACGAACGAATATGATTAGTCGTGTATCTATGAAAGGGGCGAGCAACATTCGCGCGTAACACGTTAGTACGAAACGAAACAGCGCAACATTTTAAATTATACCACGGCGGGGTTCGCGCGATTAAATTTAATTATGGTATTTTGCAGTATAACGACGTTACACGACGAAACAAAGTTACACGGTATTTCCATCACAACCGCGACTTCGACAAACACAATTTCACTGCGTGAAATTAACAAAGTTTCGGTCGGAATAATATATCCGTTTACTCGCGATCGTCGCCATAATATTTATTAGAAAGAACTCAACTACGTTATTCTGATATAGCGTTCGTCATCGTAATATAACGTACTTCGATGTACAAGGAAAAGAAGAGAGAGAGAGAAAGAGAGAAAGAGAGAGAGAAAGGAAAAACCGAGATCGCATCGTTTATAAGAAAATATAAAAGAAACAATCGTGTCTAAAAATATTATAAATCAAAGATTAAATATTATATTTCTCGCATAAAATTTTCCCAAAGCATCGATCATTCCAGTTTGAATAACAATTTTTTTTATTACTTTATTATTGTAATTAAAGCAGCGTTGCCAAAAGTAAAATACGATTCCTTCCAAACTTCCTTTTGGAACTGACGACATTGAATGATCGATCCTCGATACCTTCCTCGACATTTCATGCATTTTGTATGAATATAAATTTCCATGCTCCCTTTATTTCGCTTATTTTTTTCATAAGAACGATCCAACTTTTTGAAATGGATTTACTAAAAGAAATTGTGATTACAAAAAGAAAAGATAACACAAAGATTTCAGAAATTCAGAAAAACATTGCCCGAACAAATCAAAATTTATTACCGTTTCTCGAATCTTATTATCTCTTCGTTATCGTCTCGTATTTGAAAAAGAAACGTATCGGTTTTCAAGGGGAGCATCTTTTATTAAAAATCGATCGTTTTTTACTCACATTCTATATTTGAAAGACGAGAATGGTGAATCTCGAAATTCGATTTCCGAAATCCGAAACGCGTTCCGTCCGTATCGAACGACGTAGATCGACTACGAAAATTCGAAGGAAAGATTTGTTTTGAATTTGTACGCGTCCTTCTCTACGTTTCTCCCCACCACAGTTTATTCAACCGAGAGGCAAATTACAAACCTAAGGGTATTTCGTTACTCGATTGAATGTTTATGTTGGCTAACAATGCTCGAGGACAGTGGTCATGGTATACCAATTTTGTTGACATCGTTCTCGTACGGTTTCAAACGAACGCTCGCACCGCGATAAATTTTTCGATTAAAAAATAAATAAATCGTTCGGTGGAAAAATAAAAATGGATTTTTTTAAATTTTAGAAATAATTCGATTTACGATTAAAAATGTTAAGAAAAACCGGGTTTTAATTTTTAATAAAAAAAGAGAATTTTACAAATATCATTTTATTTTTTATATCCTATTTAATCAATCGTACGGATTTTTAATGAAAATTTTTTTCTAATTGTTATCATTTTTTTTTAAAAATGTATATATTTTGTATATAGAAATCTATTTATATCGATTTATTTAAAAAAACAAATTATAAATTTGACTTCCGGTGTGCGACGAACGAACCTTTAAAACGCTTTTTGAATTCTCTCGATACGAAATTCCCGAAATATCGTCGCGTAAAAAAAAAAAAAAAAAAAAAAAGATAATTTTTAATCGTTTCTATCTTTACCGCTTATTTCTCCAATATTTCACTTGCATCTCGTTTCATTGACTACTCCCAAAGTCTAGACAAATTACAAACGCGATTCCTGAAACAGTAGTACGTGTATCCAGGAAAAAAGTAGGTCATTGAGTTTCATTCATAGATCGTGCAACGCCTTAAATCTACTTTGAGTCCTTCATAATCCCGGCAACTGATCGAGATATCGATATAAAACAAAAAATAATTTCAATGGCACGATTTCCTCCATTCATTTCTTGAATGGGTTTTGATCACGCGAAGTAAAAAGTTTATTCGTGACCTCGCGTGATTTCAATGATTGTCCGTGATATAAAGTACGTAAGACATTTACATTTCTTTGATTTCACGTTAATTTTTATTTATAAATTAGTAGGAATATTAATAACATTCGCAAAAAATGAATTGCATAAATATTACGACAATAACGTAAAAATCCAATAAATTATATCTTCTTCCAAATAATCGTAAAGGAATTAATAATTTTAAAGTAATCGTGTATTTGAGTAATTAATGCATTAACGATTGAATATTGTATACAGATTCGCGCAACACAAAGCATGCAACAGACAAAGCGTATAATTAAACATAATCCGAAAACTGGCCATCGAAGTTTGTTAATAATTGAATATAATCGATTTGGTGACCGAAATTTGCCGATGAATGTAAAATTAAAATTAACTTTCGTTGTTCTGTAAAATATACCACCAATTCTTGCTATCCCGTACAATATGTGGAAAAAAATAAAATTGAAAACAAAAGATTTAAAAAAAAAAAAAAAAAGAAAGAAAATAAAATTCTCTAGTTTATCGCGTAAAAATTTTACTGTTATTTACTGGAATTTAAAATATTAATTTTCTTTTTTCAAAAAAAAAAAAAAAATTTTCAATGCCTACGCATTATAAAATATAATAACTAATTGAATGAGTTTTTGAATGAAAAAATAAAATATAAAACTTTTGCTTATTAAATTTGTTTTAAAATTATGTTATAAAATATTTAGTATTTTAAAAAATGAAAGAAAAAGTCGAATTATTATATCGTACATAGAATATATACGATAACAATGAACAAATGAACCAACGATGTTAACTCACCTGATTGTTCGGAAAAGTGCCATCCTTATCAATCGCGTTGACTTGAGTAACTTTACTACCAACCGGTTCACCCTCGAGTACAGTTTCTTGCTCACGTTCGGTGAACAAAGGTATTTCGTCGTTAACATCCTCCAGGACGATATAGACGGTCGCTTCGGAAGCGAGTTGTTGGGCACCATTGTTCTACGAAAGAGAATTAACTTTATCTTAGGTGTACCTTCCATTTTCCATTTCATTCCTTTACTCTTTTTTCAATTCTAACGAAAGATAGTGTATTTCATCGAAGTATTTAGAAATTAAAAGTAAGTAAAAGAAAAGAAAAAAAAATTGTGCTAAGAGAAATTTCTAGTTAAACTATAAAAATGTTCTCATTCCGAGAAGATAAAAAGAATGCAAACGTGTAATAAAGAATATATTCTTTATACCGTTTTATAAGAACGGATTTAAAAGATTAAATCCAAATTGAATCCAATCTCGAATGTAGATAATTTTTTTAAAAAAATAAATCATTTTATTACGTACATTACGGATGGTAATAATTATTATATTTTTCGAATTTCATCGCGAATTCATTATCTTGATTAATTCGGCTGAACTCGAAATGAATCTTCGACTCGACGAAGCAAGTGGAACGACAGAAAAGTCATCTCGGTGACTGAGTAATTAACATAGAAATGACAAAGAGTATATTTTATAATTGCGCGAGAGAGATATCACCGCAAAAATACGAAATAGTGGGGTAAAAATAAAAATAATTGTTCGCATTGTTCGTAAGCGGATTTTCAAATTGCTTCGTTGTCAGTTTCTAAATGGATTAAAGAACATCGGTCATTAAGGAGATTATATTTTACGACTATTCGACAATTTCGAAAGGGAATACACTCGCTGTGAAATTTATTAGCCGTATTCAATATCACTCGAACTCGATGTTTTATGGTTATTCCGAAAAAAAAAAAAAAAAAAAAAAACTATTACCTTCGATTATACCTTTCAATTCATTTTACGTCGTATTATCTATAGATTTAAAGAATAAAATTTTGGAATAGAAAGAAAATTAAAGAAAGTGAATTCTGTTATGCGAAAGATTATTTTATAATTGTTAATAATCGAGACAAAATATAATTGTGATTTTAAATTCTGAAATTTGAGATATATAAAATTAAAATTCAAACAATTAATCGACATATGAATTATACGTGTTTCGAAATTTGAAATATTCATTTTTATCGATATCTTGAATATTCATTTAAAACAAATCGAAATTTTGAATGGAAATTTCATTAAAATACTAAAATTATTTTAATTGCAAAGTTTGAAGTATAATTATTTAAAATTAAAAAAGTTTCATTTTTTTTTTCTTTTTTTTTTTTTTTACTTATATATCTACACCTATTATTCCATATTTAAAATATTTACAATTTTTCTACCTCGATTAAATTGCTCGAGACGAGTCAATTATATCAATCGATAGGATATATTTCGTAATAGATCGTGTTTGAAAATACTCCGTTCTCGATTACGATCGGCCAGGTGCGCGAACAGTTTTACCCTCCGAAAGAACAATGGACCATACATTAGATCTTTCATTTCTGCGCTCGGAACGAACAACGAGAAGAAATCGAGAAAGGGGACCGAATCTTTTTCTCTCCTCGCCCTTTCAACGTAATATCACGCCATACGTTATTTCCCACAAAATATTTCGACATCCCTCCAAAGTTTGGACGTTAAACCGAAACTTGGTATAGAAACGAAGCAAGAACGGTTAAATAAATTTGGGCGAAAGTTGGAAATATAGGATCGGTTTTCTCGCGTCTACCGAGACTCCTAACTAAAAACATCGGCAACCACGAGTTCCCCAAGATCGTCTCGCTCGGGTGCATCGCAAAGCGCAGCTGGGATTGGAGAATTCCAGTGGCAGGTCGATTCAATTAAACCGCGCGCGTACACGTAGAGAAAGAGAATACGGGTGGAAAATACGGGATTGAAAATTTGTGGAGAAAAGAGGAGGACGCAAGAAAATTGTCGTTTATCATTACCTCGACTCGTATAGTCAGATTGTACTCCTTTATGCTCTCGTAATCCAGCTGATGGTTAACCTTGATGTCGGCCCAGGTGACAGACTTCTCGGCTCGTTGCTGAAGGTAAAACGTGTGAAACTTGTTGGTCTGCGCGGTGGATCCAGGCATTAGCCGGTAAAACACCGTCGGATTATTCTCGATTCCCGAGCTGTCGACACACACACCATACACACATGTTACAAAATCGAGGCCGGCTCGCCAATCACCTCCGCATTTTCGGAGTTCGATACTTAACGAACGGAAAACGGGAAACGGAAACAGAAACGAGAACGGAAATCACCTAGGGTAGACATATGTATATATCGAAAAAGTACAAAGCTAAGTTATGGATATATATTTTTTACCGACTATGGAAGAGAGGCTAGCCTGTTACTCGTCACGAGTAATCGTCGTCATGCGATTCGTATCGATTCGTATCGTGGATACGATCCGTTATTCCTTTCTTGCTTTTTCTCTTCTCGTTCATATTTTTTTTTTTTTTCTTATTTTTTTTTTCCTTTCTTTTTTTTCTTTCTTCCTTTTTTTTTTTCTCTTTCCTTTTTTTTATTTTATCTTTGAATTCTTTTTAATTCAACCAAATGGAACATCATCCCACTAATAGGATAAGCTACAGATACATCGGCGTATACGAACTAGATTTTAGCTAATTGATTTTATCTAACGCGCATATGCACTTCCCGTCGTCGCCTGTCTTTTCCGTTTCTGGCGCGTTTTAGATACTAAAATGTGTTAGGTTGTCCATACCCTCGCTATGGTACACCACGGATGCGGAAAGCGTTCTCAAGTCTAGTGTCGTTAGTTGTACAGCAACACATCCCTTATTCCCCATCTACTACCTTTAGCTTTCCTACGAGTATGCTTGGTTAGAGGGTGTCACGCTGCGTTGTCACGTGTCGAGAATAGCAAATTTCGTTAGTGAATAATTTTATACAAGGAATGCTTTTGCTTTCGCGACGAATCGGTCGCGATGTATTTCTCGTTTCGTGAAATTCGAATTTATTTGATCCAACAACTATATATATATACAAAAAAAAAAAAAAAAAAAAAAAGTAGCAAGTACAATCGATACTTTTTAAACAGGGAGTCAATTATCATTATTCGAAACCGGCCAAGTTATTAGAGTAATATTGTTGTAACGTCAAAGCGAAATCGAATAGAATCGATGTCCTCGATAATTTTCAAATCGTCGATTTGCGCATCGTGTAAAAATATCCCGCGAGTTTTTAGATTAAAAGCGTAATTTCATGGATACGCTATTATTTTATCGAGGCAGGGGCATAAACCAGGCGAGAGTGGTGTTTCGAGTTCAAAGTGCGAGATCGATAGGAGGGGGGCGTCGTGAAATACTCGATTATGCGTGTCACGTTTCACATTTAACAAGGCTCTTTCACTTATGAAAAAATATATGCCCGTACACGTGCTTTTAACACGTATCCCCGCAAAATGTTACCGAAACTTTTTTCAAACATAAAAGTCCCCTCGTATGAAAGCGTGTACTCCTCCTCCCTTTTGCTTTATATCGTTATTAACACGCGGTATTTCGCTCGGTTTCGTTTTGCGTTTCGTTCGTATTTAACTTATCGACTTTTTTTTTTTTTTTTTTTTTTATAGAAATAAAATGAAACAAAAAGGAGAAAGTTGTCGACAGAACGGATATTATCTCGGATTAAATCGAATCCTTGGAATCATCGACGCAGAAAAGCTGCTCCTCTAATAAATTGGCCGGCAATCACCGATCATTATCGTTTCCCGTACGATTGTGTTCAACGTCATCCGTTAGACGCGTACGTCTCGATCGCTCAAAGGCCCCGAAATTGATAGCACCGTTCGTCGAAATTGGAACGCGTTCGATCAGAACGTCGACGAAGGAAGTGCTGGAAACACTTCTATCTTGACAAACGGCCGTCAAATTGCGAATATTCTGCGCGGAATCATCCGATACGGTTCGATGGAAACGATTATTATACGACTTTCGTGCGATTAGACTTGGAGAGTAAAGCGTCTGTTACGATGTTGCGCGACTCGATCTTTACGACTGTTAAACGACGAAGTACTCGAATAGAGGAAGGAAGAATATTCGCGAAACGGGGCCCGTTCGAGGAAAGAAATTCAGATTCGAATTAATGCCAATAATGTTGAATAACTTCGATTCGAAAATGAATTTTACACAATTTTGGAGGAAATGAGGCAAGACGATGCTCCGTTTTTTTTCCCCCCTCCCTGTTTCATCGAGGACGGATAAACGTTTCGAAACGTTTCTTTCGAAAGAGACGTGAAATTTTCTTTGATCGAGAGAAATTGGAAATGAATTGTTGAATGGAGAGGAAATTGAACGGGTAATTGCTCTTCGGTTTTTCTGCCTTCTCTCGCCTCGAATATTTTCACGCTTTTTGGCCTATATTTCTATATAGGGTTTTGGCGCGATTTTTCAACGCGTTTCGACATTTTGATAATTCGTAAAAGCGTTCAATTTAACAATAGTAAATGGAACGATTTATGCATACACGTTAACGCATAAACCGATCATAAAGTGAAAATACGGCGTCGATAATGGTGCTTATTTACGCGAAACGTAGAATCATAAAATAGATTGCCACCCACGTTCGATGAAACAAGATTGTACAGTTTCGTAGCATAATTTCATTTCCATTACAAAATATGATTGAAATTTATTCATACAACTTTACACGACTATCGTTTGTCTGCTATTGAATTTTTCGGATGAAATAAAAATGAGAGAAAGAGAGAGAGAGAAAGACTCGCGTATACGGTCTCGATAAAATTTTTTTATCGTTGATTCTATTGGAAAACGAAAATTGTGAATACAAAATGATTCGTGGTGAATTACAAACAGATACAAACGGATAAAAAATCGTGGAAAAATTGAAACGCTTTCCGATAATCCGACAATCGTGAATATTGCGGTTGTTACATCGCGTGAAAAAAAAAAAAAAAAAAAAAGAAGACGTAAATTTGGAAAGTAACGTAACTTTAAGAATGAAGATAATTATTTCCAAATTATTTTCAATATTATATAGTTAATATAAGTTACGAGAATCTTTTTCTCTTCGGAATAAAAAACCTTTAATTTCTCTTGGGAGATTAACCTCGAATTTAAGCTTCTCGTTTAATCCTTTTCACCGAGCAAGGATTAGTTTCCATCCGTGAATGGGATGGGATTAAAAATATTACGAGTGAATTTTTAATAATGACCAACCGATAAAACGAAACGAGATTAACAACGAGTGGAACATTCCGTTACAATTCGACGAATCAAAGTTATAGATGGAAAAATTGAAAGGCGAAATGGAAATATTTAATTACTCGAGCTCGTATTACATTCTCGGTTAAAAGCACGAGAGGGGGAGAAAAAAAACTTCATTTCCTCCTTTCTCGCCTCGTAAAAGTTCTCGAGAGAACCCAAAGGATCGAACTTTAAAGGTCTAACGGATGCAGAAGGAGAGAGGGAGAAAAAAAAAAAAAAAATTTAGAAAATGAATATTTGAACGTGACGATGGTTTTAGTGGGTTTTTCAAGCGTGACCCCTCACCTCGTTTCTATGTGTGTGCACTTTGTTGTATCGTGTGAACGTTTGTTAAAACCCTCTTACAGATAGCGATAAAGCGAATAAATACAAATATCAACGACAAATACACAGCATGAACCTGTTTTTCTGTTACGTCTAATAATAAAAGAAAAAAAAAAAAAAAAACGCTTCTTTCATCGTTCCCCAACCATGGTGCGCGGTGGTGTTTGCCATTCGTTTCCACTTTTTTCATTTCTTTGGCAGTCGTGTATAATCAGCGTGATCATCGTTAATAGCAGCGATATTTGAGAAGCGAAAGAGAAATCTCTCATTCATCGTTTTCGCCTTTGTTCCAGCAAACTTGTTCTTCACGTACGACACCGTTTCCAATTTCGACTCCTCGAGCGTGAACATCGTAGGATTCATCTCTTCCTCTTACATCCGTTTCTTTTCCTTTTCGTTTCTTTTTCTTTCTTTTTTCTTTATTATTATTATTTTTTTTTTTATTTTATATCTCGAAGCTAAATACTCTGGAGCCATTCGAATCGAAACCATTTCGTCACTTTCGATCCACGTACGTTATTCGTACGTTTAACGTATAATTCCGAGAGATGCTCTAACTAAGGATGTCTCAAAGTCTAATCGTTATTCAGCTTTGTCGTACGACTGGCGCAAAAATATCTGACCGGCAAAAACCACTACGAGAACACACTACGCTCTCGAAAGAAAATGAAAAATTGAAAAATTGAAAAAAAAAAAAAAAAAAAAAAAAA